ATGAATCAAAATCACATTTAAACATTATATTTTTCTAAATAATTAATTCAATGAAGGTTACAAGTTATATTAAAATTGTTAATAAGATTTTATGCAATAAAACTACTGTATACTAAATTTAGAATTAAGTATTTCTAATTAAAAATAGATGACGAACTTTTGTATCAATATTTTTTTTATGAGTTTAAAATGTCAAATTTCAATAATAACCCTTTGTCAAAAAAACAAAAAATCAATAATTACCTTGACTTTGTAAACTTATTTACTACTTTTTATTATTACGTACCAGATGTGTCATATGAATAACTTAAATGTATTAATTTTTTTTATTAAAAAACACATTTGGTCAATGTACTTTCACTAAAATAACAATTTAGTCCTTGAACGTTAGTTTCTAACGATTTAGTCCTTGTACTTTAGCTAAAGTAACAATCTAGTCCTTGAATTTTAGTTTGAAACGATTTAATCTCTATAGTTTAAAATTTGTATCAATTTAGTCCCTATCGTAAAAAAATTTATTAAAATTAAGTGTCAAAATTTTTCATATAATACTTTAATCTTTCTAATTTATAAACATGTTTGATCCCTTTATAGTTAAAAACTTAACCGAAAAAAAAATCATGATAAGGACTAAATCGTTGCCAACTCTAAATTACAACGACTAAATTGTTACAAATTTAAAAGTACAGGATCAAAAGTGTTTTTTTAACCTTAACTTTTTTAGTACAACATATGAGGATGAGGATTCAAACTCTTGGCTTTATGGTCGGAGATAGATATCTTAACTAGTTGAACGATATTGATAAATATATTATCTGCGTCAAGGGAAAATAAATAAATAAATATAAGATTTCAAATTGGACCCTATTTGCATTCTTTATTCACAACTTATTTTTTTAGAATGAATATTATATCATAAATATAGAACTTTTTTTTAGAGAAGTAACGATGTCTTAACCAAAATATTAAATTTCCATCAACATATCAACATTTCCACGAACTTCCATATGTTCATGAACTTGACATTGATACGAGGATGAAACAACATTTTCTATAGTATCACAATTCGACAAAATATAAAGAATATCAACATAATATCACTAATATGGAGATAACGTTAATATTACTAATTTTTAACTTATTTAAAAAGTGTGGAATACTTATTCATTAATTTAGATATTTCTTACAATTATTTTTTTTACTCTTAGTGTATTTAAAAAAATATCCATTAACAATTGACATTTCCAACAAAGATCTCCAACATTTTCATCAATATCATCCACATATAAAACCTTGGTTTTATTTATGCTTAAGCTGACTCAATACTATTTTAATCTCATATTCATGTTTAGTGATAAATTTTAGTAAATGACTATAATAATAATTAATGTGCACATAAATATTTTAAGAAATATATATATGAATTATGTTTTTTTAAATACAATATGGAGTCAGAAATCGAATTTACAATTTCTCGATTGAAAATATATGATAAGTAACGCAGACGTATACTCGTTTTGGCTATATGAATTATTAGTTAACAGATCCAAAAACATAAAAAATAAATATTGTAAAGAGAAAGAAGATAATTGTTTTAAAACCCTAATAAAATAATTGGGTAAAATATTAAGCAAATATTTAGTTTTTTTTCTTTCTATTTAACTGAATCAGATATTTGTACTAAAAAAAAAAAAAAAAAGACCCCCTGGGATGTCTGACTTCGAAAGATGTTAAAATCTAATTTGGCGTCTAGATCTAGGTGTGAACCAAACGCTGCCGTTTTGTTTTGTCCATGGCCAGAGTACAAAGGGTGATGCCTATAAAAGATTAAAAAATAAATTCTCTCCAATATATATTTTTTAATTATTTAAAATATATTTTGATCTAAAACTTTCCAAGCTCTTCCATTCTTTTCCTATATCGACACGAATGGTGAACCAACATTTCTATAGACTTTTATAGATTCATGCACCTTAAATTTAAATAAATGTTGTAATTTTTACCTTAAACTAGAGAAAATATTGTAGAATTTTTGTTTGAAGAATTATGAAAAAAAAATTATTCTCTATTAATTACAAAACATGTCTTTTGTACTCAAATAAAATTTAATTTTGTGAAAATATTAATTTACATTGAAAAATTTATTAAGCTTTTAGGGATCTTTACATTACAAAATTAGTGAGTAAACTCGAAGAAATTTAACATTGAGTAAAGATTACTATATTTATCTAACTCTATGGTCCAACTGAATCAAAGTGAAAGATTATGATCCAAATTTATACACCTGGTAAGTTTACAGTAAGAAATTGATTTTTCCCCGTAGTTTTTTTGTCCTTATCATTAATTTCCAATCATATAACAAGAGTCAACTCGTTTGGAAACTTTAAACACCTAACTTGTTACATGGGTATGCCTTCCCATGCTTGTTTATTCATATATCTAATGATTAAGTGAAAAAAAAGTTTTATATGATATTAAAACAAAAGTATCCCCTTCATTTTTCCTTTTCATGTATCTATCCGTAAAATTTTATAGAAAAAAATTGATATATTAAGAAAATTAGAAAGTTAATTTGAACTTGTTAATTTATTATAAAAAAAATAATATATTTTCTAAAAATGTGTGTTTTGACTAGTCAAGGGCCCATAGATGTTCGTGAACTGATTAACAAAGCTTAATGGGCCCTAACGGCCCATTTAGAATATGTTTCCATCATTTTAGAACAAAATTTTAGGGGTTCTTTTTTTTTGGTTGTATTGAAATTGCAATAATATGAACCGAAAAAAAAATTATCATAATTTAAGATGACACTTGGCTAATTGTTTGTGCTAACTTAGTCGTTATCTTCTCTAAATTTCTGTCAATTTTCTAAATATTATGTCATGTAAGTCTATTATTAATCAATTTTGAATATTTATCGATAATGAAAGACTAAATTGAAAAATCTTTTAACACATCAGAGATCAAATTGAAATATTTTAAACATCATATAAATATATATTTAGCTTTTTCTTTTAATTGAAAGGTGATCTAGAACCTAAACACTCACCAATCTTAAATATATATTATTAAATTGTTCTATACTCGTTATCTTGTTAGGTGGAACAACCAAACAAATTTGGAACTCGAACAAAAAATTTTTTTTGGATACCGTGGGTATCCAGACCAGTTTACGCGCATGTCGATTAATCTCACGAGACAACCGTCTGACCCTACAATATTTGGTGTCGGAAAACATATAAGAATTACTAATTCTTAAGGTAGGTGACCATCATGGGACTTGAACCTTGACCCCTAAACAACTGGAACAATTAGATTAAACATAAAACGTCAATTAACCTAATCAAAATCAAACCCAACAACATCACTAAGATCATTACATTGTTGTACCACTCATCCATTCCCACTCCAAAATATGAACTTCAAACCAAAAAAAATTGAAATATGTATGGGTCATGTCTTATCATGATGATTTTAAGGATATATTTTAGTAACACATTTGAAAAGAGATAGATTTGGTATTTCTTCTAACCCTCCAATATGTTTGTCAACTTCTAGAAGCAAAGGTGGTGATTCCACCATAAGCTCTAGTGGGTGATTGGGGAGTTTAATTTTTTTTTTATTGACCTTTTATTTTTTTTATATATATTTTTTTCCATTTCAAGAGAATCTCAAAAAAATGTCAAACACTTCACTAGTGGACACTGCCCAATGCTTGATTCTCAAATCTTATTTTGTGAGAGGTTGAATTGAAAGTATGGTTGAGTTTGAAGCTTACCAACTCCTATGGATAAGTGTTGGAGATTGTGTTTGTATGAATGTAGTAAAAGGAAAATTCACTTTTACCCATTTATTTAAAGCATTTATGATGTTGTAATTCGACTCATACTTCTAAAGTGATTTTACAGGGTCAAAAGCTCCAAAAAGTTGTTCTCTTTAAGATTATTTTACGGTAATTTGACATTTGTAGATTAATTACTTTCATATATGGTGCAATAAAATAAAATTTGAAATTCACTTTTAAGAAAATATAATCAAATGTCAATACGAGCATAGCTCGATGGTTAAGGCAGTTTGCTCATTTCCTAGAGTTTAGAAGTTTAATCCCTTATAACCAAACACCAGCATCAGCATAGTTTAGAGGTACAATCCTCCATTCTCAAATTTGTTGCACCAATAAAAGAAAAAAAATTAATTGTAACCAAACATACAATTATTTTAACTAAAACCCTCTTTTATGAAAACCTTTTAAGATTTTTTTTAAGTGAATAAATTAAAAGTATGCCAAACTCACATCAAATCTATCCAAATCATTTATAAGACATGAAAGTCTCAAACCTTATGGTTGTAGGTATATACCAATTATCGTTGAGCTATGCTCGTTTTGACAAAATTTCATTCCTTTAATGGTGTTTATTAAATCGTAAGAATGAAATCAACTTGTAGGACCAACTTCAAACTTTATAATCACCCCCCCTAAAATGGTGTAATCTCATTTTCTCATACGACCTCGTCAATTTCATTCTAACTCCTTGTTCTGTGGACTACACACCTTTATAATTATTACTTTACAACATTTATTGTTTGTTTCTCATCTATTAATGAGACTCGTAACTTTTTAATTATTTATTTTATATTTTTTTGCCATTATGAGCTTACCTTAGCGGTAATTAGCCTATATCTTTGACGAGGAGGTCATAAGTTTGAATCTCCTCACCCTCATTTAAGAAAATTTACCGTAAACAACGTCAAATCAATATTGATTTTCATTTCATTTGCGCAAGTAAACGGTTCCTAAAACTTTCTATAATTTCCCTTTATGGTTGGGCCAATCAATATATATCAAATTTGGGCCGGGTTTCGATGTGATGGGCTATTTGATGGGGCAGAATTAGCCCATTTACCAAGCCCACCAAAGGCCCTGACTTTCCGCTCTCTGGGAGTCCCCCGATGCTATAAGTTTCGGCGTTGCATTTCTCAACTGAAACTAAAATCTAAAACCCTAGCTTCCTAATCGGCCATGGGAGCGGTGGGTTTAGAAAGAGCAGCCACGGCTTCCCAAGCTTCTCCACGAAACCCTAAAAAGAAGCCTAAACAGCCCAATTCCAAGACCAGCAAGAAGAGAAAGCACGCTGTGACCACCAATCACGAGACCCAAATTGGTCCCAATGACGTTGGAAGCAACGCACCGGAGGCTCTTCCGGTGGAGCCCCTCAGTTTTTTTCTCGACGAGTTCCAGACGGCCAATGATGTTCACGTTTCTTCGCTTGAGTTTGAATCCATGAAAGGTACTTTGTTTTGCTCCCTTTTTTCCTCCAAAACCCGGACCACATTTTCCATGGGGAAATTCTGCTGTATAATTATTGAACTATGGTTGTAAATGGTCTTTAACACTTCTTTGTCTACTCCCTTGAGTTGGAAATGTGCAAGATTTCACCTGCCGTTGTTGATTTTCTGTAGATACATGCATTCTGGGTCCCCCTCAAAGTTCAGTTCAGGATGATAAAACCTTGATGAAGTATATCAAGGAAGCTTTTGGGTCATCGTGGAAAGAGGTTCTTTGTAAAAGGGAACTCTTGCATGGAAAGGCTGAACCGGGCAGTCCAGCCGTTCTTATAATCAGCACATCCGCATTGAGGTCGATTGAACTTTTAAAGTAAGATGGGGATTCCTTTCATCTGAATAGTTGTTGTAGATTATCATATCTGTAATGAAGTCCTTTTCTGTTCATTTCTCATTCTCTAATGCACATACTAATATGTATTATTTCATCAGGAGTTTACGATCTTTAACTCAAGAATGCCATGCGGTAAAGCTGTTTTCAAAACACATGAAGGTTGAGGAACAGGTAGTTAGAATTTTCTTTTTATGTCATTTTTTTGTGATATGGAGATAGGAGAAACACATATGTTGCGTTGCAATTAATTTCATTGTGTAATTGTAAATTTTAAGTTGTACACTGCATTTATGAATTCATGTTTGTCATATATACATCAGACAACAACTATGCTGAACTTAATGCTTTGCACGTCAGTTTGATCCTGCATTTACAGTGCTTTAGTTTATTTGTCCTGATTTCATGGTTGAGGATCGACATAATACTTAGTTCCATCTGTTTTGATCTTCATAGTCACATGTTTATGAATCATAGTTGTAAATCTTTGGTTCTCTCAATGACATGCAAATCTCAAACAGTGGGTTAGTTTCTTGGTGTTGTATCTCACTATATTTATTTCCTATTTTGTTTTTTTTTAATCTATTTTGTTGCTGTGTATCTCGGCCGATCACTTGTCGTCCTTTCAACTATCTTACATTATTGTAGCTGGGTAGATCTGGGTTGAGGCAGGAGCATAATGTTACTGCTCTGTTTTCGTTTTTACCCAGAGCTTATCTTTCAATTTCCTCATTTTTTAATTTCAAGTCATTTATTATACGGTTTGGGAAATGATGACAAGCTACTTATCTTTCAAGGGCAGCTGCTATGCTGAACTTGTTATTTGCACGTCAGTCTGATCCCTTATTCTCAATCCTATATTTCTCATTTCCAAGCTTCTAAGTGCTAGACTTATCTCTCAGTTTCCTCCTGTTGTAATTTTAAGTCTTATATTTTATACGGTTTGGGAAATGATGACAAGCTACTTATCTTTCAGAGGCAGCTGCTATGCTGAACTTGTTATTTGCACGTCAGTCTGATCCCTTATTCTCGGTGCTATATTTTTCATTTCCAAGCTTCTAAATGCTAGACTTAGACTTACCCTGCTAAGTTTTATTGGTTTTTAAAATGGATAACCATTTTTCACTTCTATTTTTTTCCATTCAACTCCTTGTGGGAGTTTGTATATTTGAAAATACATGTAACTTTTCAATCTTGTTCAAAAAAGAAAAAGGATAAAGAAAAATATATTTGAGCAAGTCCTCTCTGAACATGTTAACATAAACTTTTACATGCTTCTCTTCAAAATTTTCCTCTTTCTAGCTTCTTTTAGTCTCTCTCCTTTTATTTATTTTTGGGTATTCCTACATCCATCATATTCACAAGGCTTTTCTTATTTTTAAAGCTTCGGAAATGAAGATAAGTTGAATTGTTCAACAGAGGTAGAAACTGTGCTGAACTCTATTGCACGTCAGTCTGATCCCTAAATGTTTACTGTACTTTAATCCATGCATTTATACACTTTTTTTTTTTTTGTAACTGTGAGTCAGAGCTTTTCTCTCCTGTACCCAGGGGCACCCGCCCCCGCCTCAAGACCCGGATCCAAGAGACATCAAGGGTTTTTAGTATTAAGCTCATTGGAAGGTTTGAACTTGAGACTTTTAAGCTAGTATGACTAGAGAGCTCAGGGCTGCCCCTTAGGAGGAGCATCCATGCATTTATATTCATGAAGTCTTATTTCTTCTATCCAATGTTAGGGGGATTTTGGTTTGTAACCTAGGTTACGATTTGGTCCGTTCTCTCAAATCCTCGTTACTGCTGAATTGGTGGTCAAAGATCCTTTTGATTTTGCCCGTATGCAATAAATCGGATGAAACTGGATGTCGTTGTAACAGCACAATGTCACAATATTAGCAATTTTATTTATATCTTACTTCCTGGTTTTGCTGCATAGTGCCGTCATTTAATTTTTTTTTTCCAAATCTGTAGTTGTTTTGTTTATTTTTGATTGTGGTAGTCTTAATGGGCATGCCTAAGAGTTTAAACTAAAGTTATTTTGAAATATTATTGTTTTCCCCTTTATGATTGATGCAGGTAGAGTTGTTGAAGAACCATGTTAACATTGCGAGTGGTACACCGAGCAGGTTAGTAATTTGTATTGTATATACATCAAATTTGTGCAAGATTTCCATTTATAGGATCTTGTATCCATTAAAGGAGTCCCATTGAGGATCTTGTATCCATATTTATAATTCCAGCCCTTCTACATCAAGTTACTTACCACCACTTGCATCGATATCCAAAGTTCATTTATTCTTCTTTCATCACATTTATTCTCAAGTTTGTTTACAGTCCAACTAATTCTTTCTGTCACATCCTCTTCTGTATGGATTTTAGGATTAAAAAGTTGATTGATATCGAGGCCTTGGGCCTTTCAAGATTAGCAGTTATCGTGCTTGACATTAAACCCGATGTTAAGGGCTATTCTTTATTTTCACTTCCACAAGTCAGGTTTGAACATCATTTATAACTTTCTCATCTGACATTAATTTATTTCAAATCTTCTGTTACATGCTTTGAATTGCCAAAGTACGCAAAATTTAACAAGCTTTCCTGTGTTTGAATATGGAGAAAAAAAATACAAATTGTGAAACTCCTGAAAGCTCACCGTCAGGCTTTTGAGGTTTCTTACTCAAGAAATTGCTATTGCAGAGATGAATTCTGGGATTTGTACAAGAGCTACTTGCACCCACGAGTGGTCGAGAGCAAGCTGCGAATCTGCCTCTTCGGACCTTTACAACCTACTCGGAAACAAAGGAAAAAGGAAGTTACTTCTGCAGTCAAGTAAAGCAGTAACGAAGTCGAAGTTTTTAAATCCATCTTTTGCTGTTGTATATGGTAACCCTCAAAATTTCAACTCTAGATCATTTTTGCTTGCCCCCCACCCCATTCCAATGTGTTCCTACGCTGACCCTCACATTTTTTAGCGAACCAAAATTTAGGGGATAAATCTGAAAACAACCTTAGTTGAGAGTCCTATTTTTATAGGTTTTCTTATTGTTTTGGATTGGTTTAATGCCATAAATATAGATGGAAAATGATGATGTATTTCTTTATCTCAGAGCTGTACGAAATATTAGAGGGAAGATTATTTATTTTTTAATTCTTATTTTTATAGGTTTTCTTCTTGTTATTACTTTTGGGAAAAAAAATTAAGTTATTTTCTCTTATCTAATTTTCTTATAATTAATTTCATAAATGAATTAAATGAAATTGTAGGCCAATCGTGTCAATACCAAACAACCAAAATATCACTGGAAAAAAAAAACATTGAGAAATGAGAAGAATATAGAAAGAAAACTTTCTCCCTTTCTCTGGTTGGCTACAAGAAAATTATGGATGCGATTTAAAAAATACAATTTTATGGTTTATGATAAAATAATATTTTTATTTATATTATAGAAAATGGAAACAAAAACTTGTTTTTCTTCTAAAACTTTTATAGAATTTTGAAAGTGATTCTAAAAAAGAGAGAAACATGTATAATTGATGGGTCTTTTTCTTTTCTTTTTTAAATAATTTTTTTTTGCAAACTAATTCAAAAAATATATCTTCCATTAATGTTTGGAGCATTGATCTATGTCAATCAAAAAATTTACTACTTTGGTGTAGTGGGTGTGTTCCTGTTTTTATATCTAAAGGTCTTGAATTCAAATCTATGTTATCCAATATATATATGTGTATATATATATATATATTTAGTTTAAGGGAATATCATGGAGCTGCATACTTTTTCCAAAAAGTGTTGAGTTTATGTTTATATCACGTATACAATATTAACATTATCAAATTATTATGATGTTTGTACTTAAAAAAAATAATTATGATCTTTGTAGTTCAACCATATGAACGAAGGATGATGATTCAAACCTCCGAGGCTTTTGGTTATCTAAGAAGGTTATCCAAGTTTTATTATTTTACTTTGCTACCACCGGGTTACAACAAATTGCATTCTAAAACCAAAATAAGCCACGGACTCAATAGTGACTTTGGATTGATATCTAAAAAAGGTATTTAAAATAAAGCACTTTTTTCTGTGAGTTTAAAGGAATACTAATTTCCAAAATCAATGTACCCAAATAGCATGAAAATTTCATTTTTTTTTCTTTTTATTGTCTAAAAGTACTTTCCACCCTTCCAAAAGTCATCCTAAACTTACCTTATATTGTAGGTTATAAAATATATTTTGTTCCTGT